TTGAATGGTCTGCTGGGCCACCGCAGCTGCACCTAGAACCCTGCGCTGCAGCAGCTTCCAGCTCTGCTCTCCGAAGGCTTGCTTACAGGTCCCTGGGGAGTGGCAGTTAGGAAGCTAGAGGTCCCAGGGGCTTCTCCTCTGATCTCATTTGAGAATTGCTGCCCTCAGGCCTGCTCAGACAGCGCCTGGGAAGTGTCCGCGCTGGAGTACACTGACCTTTGAGCAGACATGCGCAGCCCTCCCCTGCTCCCCACATTGGCTGTCCCTGCCTCCTCCTTCCGAAGCTTCTCTTGGGGGTGCTGCCTCCCTCTGTGTGACTGGGATCATTGGCTAATGAAGCAGACAAAACAAGGCTTTTGGGCTCGGCAGGATATCCCAGTCTACAAGTGGGACCCCGCTTGTAGACTGGGCTGTGTAGGCAGGCCAGGCTGGGTCCCCTCTCTGCTGCAGCTGGCAGTCTAAAGGACGGTCAACTTTTGACTCATGGAAATAGACAGGACCCAAGAGGACGGTTTTGAACAGCATATTAGGGCTGTAAGGGAGGTGGGAACCCCAGCCCTCACTTCAGTTCCGGCTCTTCCCGAGTGAATCTAATTGCCCAATGTGTGCATTGACTCCAGCTTGCAGAAGAGGGCGCCAAAGGCACAAAATAAGATTACTTGCCTTCAGAGAGGTTTCCCTTGGGGGAACTTCTGGAGAAGGTGCAGTCCTCACTGGAGACAAAGACCCAGGCAGCAGGAAGCAAAACTTACCTAGGGCGATAGGATGTCATTAGTGTAACCAACCACACATGCAGGATGTGCAAGCTCACTGCCCAGCACTCTAGAAGCTGGAAGAGGCCCGTGGCCGCCTGGCTGGGGTGTGGGGGTGGGGATGGGGACTGACCAGTGGAGTCTTTGTCGCTGTAGAGTGTGCAGAGCACACAGCTGGTCTGAGAAAGCAGCAGAGTGTAGCCGTGGCCTCTGCAATCCCAACCATTCCCCCTTCTGGTCCCCGTACCTACTCCGTCCTTGTCCTGTGCTGCTTCTAGAGTAAACTGAGAGAGATACATGATCTTTTTCTCCCTATTTCTCTTTACAGAGCTGAAGAATAATGAAGGTGTCCTTAGCCTCCTCCTGAAGGCTTTCTTTGCTTTTGACATCTTAAAAGCTTGATTTAAGAAAAAAAAAAAAAAAAAAGTCTGGGTGGTGGTGACGCACGTCTTTAGTCCCAATACCAGGGAGACAGAGGCAGGCAGATCTCTGTTGAAGTTTGAGGTTAGCCTGGTCTACAGAGCGAGTTCCAGGGCAGGCTCCAAAGCTACAGAGAAACCCTGTCTCTAAACAAACAAACAGGGAACCCCCAGGGAGGAGCCCGTGCAGGCTTGGGGTGGTGGGGGAGAGTTTGCAAATCTGCTGACATGCTGACACTCCCCCACCCCAACATACAGACACCTTGGGTTCCCCTGGGCTAGCAAGATCTGCTCAGAGGTGTTGGGGAGGGGGTTGCCAACACCATGGGCTCAGGCCTTGGGCTTTTCTTACCAGCCATGTTTGCTCCCCACACTCCCTTATGCCCCCCACACCCTGTTCACACGACCCCCACCTCATACTTTCGTTCTCACTGAAGCCAAACCACCAGGTTTGAGAAGTGACAGTCAAATAAGGTGAAGCCCAGCAGCGCTTACTTGCTGACGGAGATGTCACACACACCCTTGTAGGGGGGGCTTTCCCCTCTTTCTCTCTGGCAGGAATGATTCATGCCAGGCACCCGCTTTAGCGTGGTCTCCCTTTTCTCTTTGCCCCCACCCCAGGAGTCTCGGGTGCAACCCTCTTGGTACTAAGAGGCCTTTACACTTAGTGTTCTTACCAGGTCAGCCTGGCCTCCACGGCCTCCACGGCCTCCACGTCCGCTTGCAGTAGCAGCATTAGCTTCCGGTAGATATCTGGATTGTGCATTTCCTAGGTTTTTCCTAGATGACTTTGAACCTCACTAGATAACTTCCCAGCAGCCCCACGTTTTTCAGATTTTTATATTTGACAGTATTTATACTATATACGAAACAGTTCTGAAATCTTAGACTTGTTGGTGAAGACATTTTCTTTTCTAAAACACTGAGTTTTTAGAAGAATTTTCATTTAATAGAAAGCTGGAAAAATGTCTAGCATCAACTCCTAAGCCGGGCATTCCTGGCTGCCTTATCCCATGCCTAATAACTTGGGTTCAAGGCTTAGGGCTGAACAGGCAACAACGTCACACACACAAACTCAAGCAATGCCTTTGACACAGAGTCAGGTGACCAACAGAGTCGAGCTCACTTGCTCCTGAACAGCAATAGTGAAGTCCCTCTCTGGGCTGGGATTTCCTCCTCTTAGGGGAGTGTGAGCTCTGGATCTCCTCAGTTAGGCTTATGTGGAAACCTGAGTATGGCTCTGTGAGCAGGAAGCCCCTCACCCCTGGCGGTTTGGCTCGCTACTTATAGCCTGTGTTCCAGCCAATAAAATGTTAAGTAGAGGACCTTGATTACTGTGTGTTTCTTCAGCTTGCTTTATTAAAACAAAACCAAGACCTCTTTAGAAACAAATTTTAACCCTCCTGTGCATATCTGATAAAAAACACAGCTCCGGGCTGGAGAGAGGGCTATTTGGCTAAGAACACTTGCTCTTGCAGAGGATCTGGAGTCTGTTCTCAGCACCCAGGTGGGGGCTCACAAACATCCATAACTCTAGTTCCAGGGGATCCAGTTCCCTCTCCTGACCTCTGAGGGCATCAGACAAAAAACACATAAAAATAAGTATAAATAAATAAGTAAATGCCACAGCCCTATGGGTCCTGGGGTGGTGGTGGTGTACGGCGGTGATCCCAGTACCTAGGGGCAGAGTTTACATAGTGAATTCCAGACTAGCAAAGACTACATAGTGAGACCGTCTCAACACCACCCCCAGAATCCTAAAAATAATAATAGCAATAATAACTGCAATACATACACAATCACAGCCACCAAAACATTATGGACAGCTCATTAAGAGACGGTGCTAAACGTATCTGACCAGTGATTTCACCCTTGGCTCTCAGTACCCGCCCCCTCTGTTCCACACCTCTTTTCTTCACATAGTGGGGTACAGAGTGCACCCTGTGTGCCCTCTCTACCTCTTACGGCAGGACTGACTAGAGACCTAGTTTGTCCAGACAAAGGAGGGTAGGAATTGGGACGTCGGTACTCCAACTTCTAGATGCCATGGTAGACAGAAAACCGTTTGTTGAGTGGAGGATGTGACGGTGCGAGGGTAGAAATGTCATTAAAAGCACAAGACGGAGCCTGGCATGCTGGCACACACCTTTAATCCTAGCACTCAGGAGGCAGAGGCAGGAGGATCTTTGTGAGTTCAAGGCCAGCCTGGTCTACAAAGCAACTTTAAGGCCAGCCAGAACTACAAATTATCAAAGACAAATGAAAAGGCATAAGCCGGACGGTGGTGGTGCACGCCTTTAATCCCAGCACTTGGGAGGCAGAGGCGGGTGGGTCTCTGTGAGTTCCAGACCAGCCCAGTCTACAAGAGTTAGTTCCAGGACAGCCAGGGCTACACAGAGAAACCTCCGTGTGTGTGCTGTGGGGCACACACAATAGGAACAATTTAAAGAAAAAGCATAAAACCTAACACACCAGGACCACTTCTCCAAAGAGTGCAGTGACTAATAGCTTTGCTGAAGCCTGGTGGGCTGTGATGGACCTACATAACAGCTGTGGCAGACATGGCCCTGAGGAAGGCTAAGATCTGAGCCTGCAAGTGTGGCTCGAGCTCCTCCAGGCCCCAGAGCAGCGTGTCATGGAGAGACAGGAACTACAGAATCAAGAAATCCAGATAGCAAGATGGAACTGGGATGCAGCGGCCTGCTGCTGACAAGTGCAGGGCACTGCAGTGGAAAAAAACAGGACCACACGCTGTCCCTGGCTTCAGCTGTTCAGCTCACCCTTGATATTTGCCCTGGGAGTCATTCTGCACTAGTCACATGGCGTGGCGGAATCTCATAAACCACAAAGACGCCACAGAACCATGTGGTCAACACCCAGGTCCATCTGCATCCACGCCCACTTTGTGTACATAAGGAAGAGGTGTCTCTCTAGGCAGCAGAACCCCAGGGGCTAGATTTCAACCTACCTCCACATATCCAGCACTCTGCCTACACATCTGTCCACCCACATTTGTATGTACCCACTCCCCTTGCTTCTGGCCCATCCCTCTAAACTGAGGCTGCTCCTAACCCAACCCATGCTTCCCAGCACCTCAAGCCTTGCCGCATGTGAGATGCAAATCAGGCAGGGCCCACAAGGAAACTGAGACCCAGGATTTCTTTGGGCTGAGGGTGTTTGTGCAAAGCGCCTGCTGCATTTTAGGTGGCTCTTACACTGCAAAGCAAAAGGAGTTAGAAAGGAGGACAGTCTCCACCTGGCCAAGGGCACAGCTCCCACCCACCCCTCACTCCCCTCACCCCCCCATCCTGGGCAGCTCCCACCCCTCACTCCCCCCCCCGCCCTGGGCAGCTCCCACCCCTCACTCCCCTCACCCCCCCCCCGCCCTGGGCAGCTCCCACCCCTCACTCCCCCCCCCGCCCTGGGCAGCTCCCACCCCTCACCCCCCCGCCCTGGGCAGCTCCCACCCCTCACTCCCCTCACCCCCCCCATCCTGGGCAGCTCCCACCCCTCACCCCCCCCGCCCTGGGCAGCTCCCACCCCTCACCCCCCCCGCCCTGGGCAGCTCCCACCCCTCACTCCCCTCACCCCCCCCCGCCCTGGGCAGCTCCCACCCCTCACTCCCCCTCACCCCCCCATCCTGGGCAGCTCCCACCCCTCACTCCCCCTCCCCCCCCCCCGCCCTGGGCAGCTCCCACCCCTCACTCCCCTCACCCCCCCCATCCTGGGCAGCTCCCACCCCCTCCCCCTCCCCCCGTCCGTCCTGGGCAGTTCCCACCCACCCCTCACTCCCCCCGCCCCCCCCCCGCTCTGGGCAGCTCCCACCCCTCACTCCCCCCCGCCCCCCACCCCCCACCCCCGGTCGGGAGCATCCGTTTCCTCTCATCCTCTCTTTTCAACAGAGTTCAGAAAGAACAGCTGGCTGCCATCTTCAAGCTCATGAAGGACAACAGGGAGACGTTTGGTGAGATGTCTGATGGAGACATGCAGGAGCAGCTCCGACTCTATGATATGTAGGCCTGTCGCCCAGCAAGACATGACCCGGGACACCCTGGCAACCCTGAGGGACTTGGCCCACCCGGTTGTGGTTCCCAGACCACCTTGTGAAAACAGAGATGTGTGTTACATGAGGATTCGCTTGGCCCTGGACTTTTCTATCATGTTGGAGGAATCGGCATTGTTTTCTTCAGAGGGAGGGAGCCCCGGACCCCTCCGGCTTCAGCTCATTGGTGAGGGTCCAGCTGTGTCCTGTTCTGCAGACCAGGGCAGGTGGTCCGGGAGAGATGATGGGGCTTGGTGCTTGGAACCCTAAACACATTGTGTAGACAGAATCCGAGGTTCTATAGGGGAGATGGCGTACTAACACCACACCCTTCATTCTGCCCTAGGGGCATTTGTGGAAGAATGGGGTGATGGCAGAAAGTATTAAAAGGATCAGCTGTTCCCCTGGGGTAGCACAGAGGCGTCAATTAAGAGAGCTGCTGCCACTGTTGACCTTCACCTTCCATTCGGTCACGCCTTGAGTAAGTTTGGCACACAGAGAGCTGTGCTGGGCACTGTCCACAGAAGGAATGGGACACAACAGGGCCTGGGGTACAGCGTGTGCTTAGCAAGTTCAAGGCCCCCGAGTTCCATCCCCAGCACAGACACCCTCCTCTCCCCACCCCCACCCCCAAAACCACAGTGTGATCTGCATCTCTGGTGAGACTAAAAGGCCTTCAGACCATGAGAAAGGAGCAGAAGGCATTTGGGAAAATGTTCCAGTGTCCCCTAGAATAATGCCTGGGGTGTCACAGGACACCACTCAGTGACAATTCGGAGGAGACACAGCAGCTCCTTCATGTTTACCAGTCCTACTTCTTGTCACCCCACTCTGCCAGAAAGTTCATGGCCTGAGCAAACAGAATCAAAGGTATGCTGAGGACAGGAAGTAGGAAAGCTCTTACAACTGACTTTTATTTGCTAAAATAAAACTAAATCAATATGAAGACATAACTCAAACTGTGCAGAGCAGAGTTAACTTTTGAAAGGTTTACTTCATTTTAGCCAAGCATGATGGCATACAACCTTAATCCCAGCCCTTGGGAGGCAGAAGTAGGCAGATCTCTCTGAGTTTGAGACCAGTCTGGTCTACAGAGAAAGTTCCAGGACAGCTATACAGAGAAACCCTGTCTCAAAAAACAAAACAACACAAAAAAGATTTTATTTTATTATTATTATTAGTTTTCTGGTTTTTCAAGACAGGGTTTCTCTGGGTAGCTCTGGCTATCCCGGAACTCACTCTGTAGACCAGGCTGGCCTCGAACTCACAGAGATCCACCTGCCTCTGCTTGCTTCCTGAGTGCTGGGATTAAAGGTATGCACTACCCACCCAACCAAGATTTTTATTTTTAGCTGTGTATGTGTGCGTGTGCACACATGAGCGTGTTGGTTGTATTGTGAGTGCAGAGGCTTGGAGAGGTGGCTTGGCAGTTCAGAGCGCCTGTTGCTCTCTCTTCCAGGGATTTCAGTTCAATTCCCACAGCCCCTGTCAGGCCTCTCATGACCTCCTGGAACTCCTCGTCATCATGAGCACTATACTCAAGCGGTACATGCACACACGGGCACACACGTGTGTGTGCATGCACACTAAAAAGCTTCTGTAGACTCAGAAGCTATTCTTAAATATTCCTGGCATCACTGGAGTGAACAGGATGTTCACTCCACCCCATGAGCTGAAACCAAGAGGAAGTGTCAAGTGTTAAGAGGAAGAAAACCCAACAGCGTTGGGGTCACTGAAAAGCATAAGGCAGGTGTGATGGTTGACACTGATTGTCCAACTGGCAGAATTCCCCAGGAGACATACCCAGTCGTGCCTGGGAGGGCGTTTCCAGGGAGGATTAGCTGAAGGGGAGAGGCCTGTGCGCTGAGTGCGGGCAACACAGCTTGTGGGCCCCTGCCTGAATGGCAAAGGGAAAGTGAGTGGAACACAGGCATTCATCCTGACCTCCGACTCCGGCCAACCGTGCCCAGTGTGGGGGAAAGTGAGTGGAACACAGGCATTCATCCTGACCTCCGACTCCGGCCAACCGTGCCCGGTGTGGCTAGCTGCACCCCACTCCACTCCCACTGCCCTGCCCTGCTCACTCCTCACCGGAACGAACTGTATCCCCAAACTGGGCAGAGTGAATCCTTCCTCCCTTAATTTGCATCTTGCCAGATCCTTGGTTATGGCAGTGAGACGTAGGGTATGAGTTAGAGGCAGAGAATCATGAGGATGGAAGTTAGGGTCCCAGCGTCTGTGTCGCAAGCTGGATGCCCCCACAAGCACCTGCAGCCTCGGTCCTGAA